CTTATACTCAAATAACTATCCTGCCAATATTACCCAACTCCATAACGGAACTTGATTGCTCTGATACTCGAATAACTATTCTACCAACTTTGTCCAACTCTATAACGAAACTTGATTGCTCTGATACTCAAATAACTATCCTACCAACATTACCCAACTCCTTAACATTTCTTAATTGTTCTTATACTCAAATAACCATCCTACCAACCTTACCCAACTTCCTAACGGAACTCAATTGCTCTAATATTCCAATAACTATCCTGCCGACATTACCCAACTCCTTAACGATACTTGATTGCTCTTATACTCCAATAACTATCCTACCAACATTACCCAACTCCTTATCGAAACTCAAATGCTCTAATACTCCAATAACTATCCTGCCAACATTATCCAACTCTTTAATGTTTCTTAATTGTTCTTTTACTCAAATAACTATCCTACCAACATTACCCAACTCCATAACACAACTCAATTGCTCTAATACTCCAATAACTATCCTGCCAACATTACCAAACTCCTTAATGTTTCTTAATTGTTCTTTTACTCAAATAACTATTCTACCAACATTACCCAACTTTATAACGAAACTTAATTGCTCTTATACTCAAATAACTATTCTGCCAACTTTACCCAACTTCATAACGAAACTTGATTGCTCTAATACTCCAATAGCTATCCTACCAAATTTACCCAACTCCTTAACGCAACTCAATTATTCTAATACTTCAATAACTATCCTACCACCTAAAGAAAGTGGAAACAAAGTTGTTGATGAATTTATCAGATATTCACGAATTAATAAATTTAGTCAGATGGAATTTGTTTCTTATGATCAATTCAAAAATGTTCAATTTATTGCTGAAGGAGGATTTAGCAAAATCTATAAAGCTACATGGTGGAATACACAGAAAGGTTTTATAACAGTTGCCCTAAAACAACTAACTAATTCGAAAAATATTTCTACTAAAGAATTAAATGAGGTATTAATTTAATTTAATAACATATTTTTTACAATATGACATACTTATATTTGTATCCAAAATTTAGCTTTGGAGATATTTAGAACTTAATATTGGATCTCTTATATCTGATTATATAAATAAATTTTATGGAATCACTCATGATCCTATTTCCAAATATTATTTGATAATCATGAAATATTGTGAATCAGGTGATTTAAGACGTTATCTAACAGAACATTTTTTTAATCTTGAATGGCGGAATAAATTAGATTTATTAAATCAAATTATTAAAGGTCTTAAATATATTCATAATAAAAAAATTATTCATCGGGATTTTCATAGTGGGAATATCCTTTGTTTTGGTCATGGTAAACTTCTAATTGGTGATTTAGGAATTAGCAAATCCTTGAATGAATTAGCAAATGATACTGATCACAATGGTGATAAAATTTATGGTATTATTCCTTATATTGCTCCAGAGATTTTTCTTGGACAAAATTATACTACGGCCACAGACATCTATAGTCTTGGTATGATTATGTGGGAGCTAATGACAGGTAGAAGGCCTTTTTGGGATCAAGATTACGATACAGAACTTATTATTAAAATATGTGACAATGTACGTCCTCCAATTGTTACAAATGCACCTGAGGGTTATATTGAATTAATGAGAAGCTGTTGGAATCCTGATCCAAATAAAAGGCCAACAGCTAATTATTTAAAAGAAGAAATTGATGGCATGGCAAAAATTGAATTTACTAATTTTTGTAGTGGAAATAAAACAAAAATCGTAATATCATCAGATATTGGACCTATAACCATGAATCATTCAGGAGCAGTTTATAAAAGTAGATTATTAAGCAATATGTCAAGATCTACAATACTCTCAAGAAGTCAATCCGTTACAGAATTAGGTGATTGTAATAATATTTTATTTTACTTTTTATTTGGATTTTAAAAAAATTAATGAAAATATTATTGAATTTATTAGATCCATTTGTTTATTATCAAAAGAATATTATATCCTCTAATGGTATCAGTTCAGTTTTAATTAATTTTATTTTATTTATTATTATATTTTAATTTTTTTTTTTTGAAAAATAAAAGATAAAAGTAAGATTACGGAAGAAATAATTGATGATAACAAAAGCAATAAAAAAAGTAGATTATCTGATAATGGTATTTATTTTACTTGCGTTTGTTTAAATTATTTATTTCTGATATATTAGAACTATGCGGAATCTATACAGTCCTAATATTAGAACGTGTCTATAACTTAAAAAAAATACGAAAAATATAGTTACTCCTAGAATATTAGATATAATTAAAGACTATTCTGTATTTATTAGATTATGTAACAAACGAATTGAAAATAGATATTAATACGAATATTATGAATATTAATGAATCTAATGAAGGTGATTTATGTGATTATGTAAATGTTCATATTAATTATATTTTATAAACTAATTTGTATATTTATATATTTTTAGAATATTTAACAAGGGAAATGGATCTAGATATTAATACTTCGGAATTTAAGTTTATGGGCTGTAAAACTTTGCATCAAAAATTTTCCTGATGTGACCTAAATTATTTTAACCTATATGTTTCATATAAACCAAAATGGTAAAGCATTAATATGGAATTTAAGTCAAAGATTAAGAGTTCTATTGATGATTCTTACATAATCCATCCTTACTTCATATCATTTAGTCAATTAGTCATTGATTCTGCAAATATTTAATAGAATGTTGCACAGTAACATTGGTTTTGTTAAATGTCGTGTGTTTCGATCACAACTATTCTTGGATATCGATCAGGTCTATACACACACGTATAAAATATGCTGATACAATGTTTAATTTTGTAAAAATAAATTGTGAACAATTCATTTACATTTATCAAAGTTTGCTTTTTTACGTATTATTTGTTTCGTAAAACGATCAAAATCGAACGATAGTTGACGATTCCGGATATCATTATAAAGTTTTTCTGCCTTAAAACAATTCCTCACCTCCAAATAAATTTTTGCAAAATGTCCTGCAAAGTCTTATTCAAATTTGAGTTAAATTTATATTGAATTATTGGACAATGGTGAATAATTTGGAAGTTGGTGAAGATCCAATGTAAAAATATTCCGTGCTCATAATTTGCGTCGAACTTTAATTTCAATTAAAAAAAGGTAATGAGAATGATTTGGCTCATTTGAAATTGCCAAAAATTTCCACAAGAAAATTATTTTACAAGTATTTATCGATATAATTAAATTCGTAATATAGATATATTTATTCTTTATTTAATGAACGAGACGTTTCAGACATTCTTAAATTCTTGTTAGCTGCTGATAAACTATTTCTTCAAGAACTAGTCGATTACTTAACAAATTATTTAATTAAAAATAAATCCGAATGGATGGTATAAAATTTTGAACGTATTCACCCAAGAAAGCTTTCAATCTAATAACTTTCTAGAACTTCAAAGAGTTTGTACAGATTTAATAACTGAAAAAGTATTTAAGTCACTTGACTTGTCTTTTCTTTCTGTAAATTCTTTAATATCAATCATTAAAAGGGCCGAAATTATGAAGAATACTTAGATCCTGATTATGATGGATTATTAAGCGCTCTTAATGTATTGAAAGACCACTTCCGCTGTGACGACAAACCTAATGCCAAATATATATTCGGTTTTACTGCCCATATTTTTAGTGAAAAAGTTCGTCACTTTTATGAGAAGTCAGCCGGTTACAAACAATTACTGTGAGAGGTCCGAAAATAATAAATCCTCATTGTGACTTTCAATTGCGGACTAGGAATCCGTTAATTAAACTGTGTCATATGACGATCTCTTTCATTGTTTTATCTAGCGACATGTAATATAATTTTCATGACTTTTAGATATGAGAAGTATTTTCTTGATATAAATAGATTTGTTATTTACCAGAGATCAAAGTGAAAATCACGTATTTGATTGTCTCAAATAAACTATAACATTTGGAAATTTCTCATAGTTCCTTCGAAATTTGCACGCACGAGTTTTATTACGTAATGTTAAGTTAGTTCTTTTCACACAATTTTTATAATTTTTAAAATAATTTAAAGTTTCAATATCATCAATAAGATCCTGATAAAACGTCAAGGACATAATTGAAAATATGATGTTTCAAATATTTATAATAATTTGGAAGTTTTTACAAATAACCTCTATACATACCAATATCAAATAATCTTCTTGGAAATAGCGAGTGCTTTGGAAGTATGCACCGAGGATAAATATATATTAATTTTTTGAAGTTGTAAAAAAAACAAAGCTTAACATTTAGGACATTTTAAAACGAACTTTATTAAAAATTTCAAGCTTATAAAATATGCAAGACCATGAGCCTTTATATAGGCTCAAAGACTTTTTTTTCTCAAATTCTATAACACATGATATAATAAAGTCGCGGAAAACAATAGCAGAATCATGTATTTGAAAAAAAGTAATTTATATTTATTGCAGCTTAAATTTTATAAATTCATTAACTTAATAAATTTATAAGTTGATTTTTAACGGGAAGAATGTCATAAAAGAAAATTGGCTTATAATATTAAAATTAATTCAATTTCAATAAAAATATTTCGTATTTGCTGTTGTTGAATTTTAGACATTTGACACAAAACATGAATAATTTATTCAAAATGTTTTAATTCAACACTTAGTGCCTACCTGCTCGTTTAGTATGGGTTTTATTATAATATCGTAAAATCACACATTCATTCTCCTTATAATGATATTTTCGATTCGATTTGCATTTCATATATGTATGTATGTCACTATTGATCTCTCAAACCTATTCGTAAATCTTTACAAATGATTCTAAATTTATAAAATAAAAGATCAAATGAAAAACCATAGTAAACCATTTCAGTTAATAATAATATAGTCACTTTACATGAAAAAACGCAGGTTAAATTATGTTTATTAAGTCGTACTTTGGTTCATCTTATATATTATATTAATTCCAAAGTATTGGTCCGCTGTTCTATAATTATGACGAAAGTAGCATTTGCGATAACCCATGTTTGTGAGACCGATAACCGTAAAAATTGGAGATGTTAAATAATTACAATGCGTTAATTGATTGATAAATTTTAAAAGAATCATTAACAATGTTCCTTGTGAATTATTGGACCGTTTATAATGATGAGATTCTTTATTATCATGGGTTAATTAAAAAATCGTATCAATTTTTAATGGCACAATAAATGCGGTAGGGAGTCCTGATACGTAGTTTAACATCCACCATCACCCTGGTGTCAAGTATTATTCGATCGCTTCATCACGAAGCGATTAAACCCATAAAATAAAATACAAATTAAGTTAAAAAAGGAAATTACCTTATCTACTTCCAGAATCAAATTAAACCGAAAGAAGTCCCTAAAGAAAAAAGTTCGATCAAGCTAAAGAGCGGATAGATGAAAATGTTCGATCGCAGCGGCCTGAAGAAAATAAACTCATCCGAAAATAAAGAGTAAAAAGAAGTATCGCGGGTTGAAGCACAAATAGAAAACGATGCCATTAATGAGAAAATCTCTCTGTCTCTCTCTCTCTCTCTCTCTATACTAAAAATCAATCGATGGACACGGAAATAATCGAACCCGAAAGATGATAAGAAAAAATAAGAATAAATAAAGTTATGAAAAAAAAATCGAATCAATGAGAAAACACTTGCCTATTATTAAATCAACATCAAACCTACTAATCAAATAAAAAAAAAGAATAAGAAAATAGAAAATCGAAAACGTTTGCCTATTTAATCATTCGAACCCCAAAAAATAATGATTAAAAAAAAAATACCAATTGAATTAACTTTTACTTCCAAATATATATATATATATATATATATAAAATATTATAAAAAAAAAAAAATCCAAAATTTAGAGCAAAAGAAGCATCGGATCGCTATTGCAAAACAATCGAACCTGAATCAAAGAATTTTTCTAATAAAAAAAACCTGAAAATTGGTTGGTATTTGATCAAGAAAATATTTACGCTACGCCATAAATATTATTGCGAATTTTTAAAATAGTAATGTCAAATTCTTTTGAAATCAGGATATTTTGGCGGGAACGTTCCAAGAGAATCCAATTTTTTCTTATTAGTTAAATTAAAATGAATGTAATTTAGTATAATTTAATTATTTTAATAATTGGAGAAAATATTCCAAATTTGAAAATAGATGTTGATATGACTATTGTTTTATTCTAAAATATTCCAGAAAGTTCGATTGTTAGAGTAATATATTTTGCCGATATAACACGTAATGGTTTATTCTAAAATATTCCAAAAAGTTCGATTTTATGAGTAATAGATGTTGCCGATATGATAACACTCGATTAGCACATAAAAAGGATCCCCTTGAATAATTTCAAAACTTCTTCTCTCTTTACTGTTCACTCAAAGAAACAACAAACCATTTCACTCTTTACATAGTCGCTCAAAAAACGAAAATATACTTTATAAGTTTCTAAACCTTTATGTTTTTTATTTTCTCTTTAAAATACTATTTATTAATTTAACATTTGTGGATTATTATTTTACACAAATTATTTCCAGTAGTTCTAAAAAAAAAATTGTAATTTCGTATGTATATGAACATCCCCTCCATCCCTCTATCCATCCCTCTATCTCTCCCTCTATCTCTCCCTCCCTTCCTCCCTCCCTTCCTCCCTTCCTCCCTCCCTTCCTCCCTTCCTCCCTTCCTCCCTCCCTTCCTCCCTTCCTCCCTCCCTTCCTCCCTTCCTTCCTCCCTTCCTCCCTTCCTTCCTCCCTTCCTCCCTCTCCCCTTCCTCTTCCACCAGATGATCCTGATGTTGTTCCTGCTCCTCCTGCTACACGACGAAGAAGAACCATCACGGCGGGAACCACACCCCGTCGAAATGCTGGTGATGTAATGGCTATGAGACAATTACGAGAAGAACACGAGATGAGGGATTTCGATAGGTGGTGTTGCCTAATTTACCAAAAATAAAATGTATGTTTAAAGATAATAATTGTAATTTATTTAATTTTTTTGACATAAATTAAACTTTAAAATCTTTTTATCACAGTAAAATCCAAGGTACTGACGACGAAGAACCACCACGGCAGGTCAACCATACCCGTCGAGTGCTGATGTGAGTGATGTAATGACGATGAGAGAATTACGAGAGGAACACTTTGATTTGGTCAACGTGATGAAGAATTACGATAGATGGTGTTGCTTAATCTATTCGTAACATCGTGGAAGAGTTTGCAGGAGTTCTCTCCCGACGCGAAAATCTCGGAAAAATCGGTATAGTGGCGGCGCCCTCCGGATAATTACCCGGAGCAGAGAGAGCCGGACGGGCGCATGGGATTTTCTTGACGAACCAAAAGATCTTGCAACGATCTTTTTAATATAATATCTAAAAGATAAAAATAAATAGATCGTTTTAAATTTAAAAAAATGTATTTGTAATTTCTTTTTTTATTTCTTGTATTGTTACTTATTATTTAATTCCTGTAATCCCTTATTATTTTAAATTATTTTTATCTATTGTATTTTTATTTTGTATTGTATATTTTATTACCTTTATTTTCGACTGCGTTTCCGAGTGAATATTTAATTCCTATTTGCTTTAAGCTGTGATCTTTTATGATCTTGAAGAGTTTAATTCAGTGATAGGATTGAAAATTAAAACATTTACTCGAAAATCACATTATTTGGTCACAAAAAAATTTTAAATTTGACTATTGAAAAACAAACTTAATTTCAGCACACCAATCATTAACTGAATTCGATAATTAATGATAATTATGTACTTTTACCCCTATTTTTTTTTAACAAAGAATTTAATTATGAACTATAAATAAAATCCTCCTTAATTATTTCATATCATATCCGCTTGACCAGTATGGCGAGCGTAAAACCATGGTTTCAATTGAATCGTTTGATATTGCTTGGTTAATTTTTTCTTTTTCCTAGCAAATGAGATATAGGAAATCATATGATCTGTAATGTGAACGCTCCCCATATAACAGATTTAAAATTCTAGAAATATTTACTGAATTTTTTTAATTCCTCTTCGAGTTGGTTCCATAAATAGGTTTATTTTGGTCATTTCATTTAATTTTTTTTTTTGTTATTTCACCTTTTTAACGAATTATTTGGATAGGATGTATAAGCAAAATTGTCTTTTCGATTTTATTTTTTATTTTATCTAACAGTTTGTATCGTTGCGAGCAACTAATATTTCGAACTTTTTTTTTAAGCTTCCACTTTCTGATTGACGTATTTCGGAAGCACTGGTATATATATATTTTTTATTTGTTTCTTTATTAGATTTTATTTCATTTATTTTTTCCATTTCGATTCGATCGCTTCAGGATTTAGCATATAATATAGTTATGTTTTATATATTAAATATTTAAAGTAAAATATGTCCATATTTTAGCATTAACAAAAAAATTTTATCGGCAAAACCTTACTTTGGTCCGTTGCGTCGATGCTTTTTGAAATTTACTTATTTCGTTTATATTAATGAATAATTTCTTTTGCATATTAAATAATTTCACGATTTCGTATGTAATATCTATCCAAAGATGTTAAATCAAAATTCATTTCCTTTTAACGAGATTTGGTAAATTCAAAGGTTTCCGGAATGATTTTAGCTCGAAAATTAAAAACTTTATAGAATATTACGGAAGTAGGAAATACTAACCAATATGCATAGAGCAGAGCTCATTTGGGTGAGCTTTAACGTTAGATTTTTTGCCTAGACTCCATGGAAAAACTTGGCTATTTACAACACATATTTTTTGATCGGTTAATATCAAAATTTTTCTTTTAAATCAAAATTCCTAATCGATTGTAAAAAGAGTTACCTGTTGAAAGAGAATCTATTGTGTTTGATGAACAATAATCAGTTGTAAGAACAATAGAATCAAATCATGTAATAAAATTTCTTTTGTATATATGAAAAATTGAATGTGGTTGGCTTTATAGTATGAAATATTTAAAATCATAAAAAAATAATGTAACAACCGTTCTTCGATAATATATTTTACTAAAAGTAATGAGCATTTGTGTGAAACAAATTATTCCTTAACGTTATATGTTCAAATTTTAAGCATTAACTATTTAAAAAGACAAAGCCGGGGATACCTGGAATTTATATCGATAAGATGAGTCAAAATAAAAGGTGTCGCACTAATTTATCGTGATGCAACATACTCCTTAATGGAATTTATAATCAATAATTTAAAAAAAAAAGTCGTAGGTAGCTAATTTCTATCACTGATACTGGTTAAAAAATTTCATAGTTTATCAATTTTTTATCTTCTTCATTCGATTGAAAATTCGTTGAGACTTATTTTATCATGTCCAGTTTGAAGTGTTATATTCAATATCAAGGCAAGGATTCTAAACGGTCAAGTTCATAATAGTGGCCGATATCAGGCCTTTTGCCGACCGTTGTCTGACCGTTACCATCCCAATCAGTTACGAATTCTGAATCGGTTCTTCTTCCAAGGTAAGGTAAATGAAATAAACAAAAAAAAATAATATAATTATGATAAAATTTTGATTTTTACTAAATAGATCTTTCTCTTTTGAAGAAAGACGAGTAGGAAAGTAAGTTTGAATAATAAATAAGGGAGATGTACTGTAAATTTCAATATTTCCTTTCTTTATAGACAGGATGATCAATCACTGTCGCGTTTTCTTATTTGCATAGATGCTTTTCGATTTCTTATGATAATGTTGACGATAATAGCATTTTTTTTGTCTAAATATTTTAACAAAATTATTTCGTGTGGCTGTTGGCGATTTTTATAGTCTGCATACTCAATGCAAAATGCATTTCAGTAGACCCTTATTAGGACTTTAATTCGATATTTTATGATGGTAATCAGTGTCCCAAGCCATTGACAAAGTTGGACTCCCAGGAGAGACCTAATCGGAAGCCTACCGTTAAAGGTTCATCTTCTCTCAGGGTGCATTACATCATCAAGAACTTGTGCTATCAAATATATTTTTTAAGTATTTTGTATAAAGTATAAAGTGTATTTCGTGTGGCAAAGTTATCTGAATGTTATAATCATTGCACGAGTAATTTAAGTTATAATTACGTAGTTTACATTTTGTGGCCCTTTGCAAAAAAAAGAAAAGTAATATGCAAGATAATTTTTTGTGAAAAAATTAAATCATATAGAAATCTTAAGCCTTTTAATGCACATCATATAAATTTTCAAATCTTATCAATCCATTATCTTCAAAAAATAAATATTTGAGATGGATTATAGATTTGAAAAAAAAAAAAAAATCGGATCGTCAAACCTTGAGAAAAATACTAACTCAGAAAAAGTGAGAAATATGGATTTATTAAATTGCTTAACCACAACGAAACGATTTATAAAATAAAATATTGTATAAAGATATTTTTGAAAAAATTTACAATCTTTAGTTTCTTTCAGAAAATATGAATATTTGGGAGTTACAGTAATTTGATAGTTAAGAATAAGTACTTTCTTAAATTCAATTTGGAATCAGTGGGTCAGTTTCTTCCGCATTTGCATTACTGACAAAATATTTATAACAAAGATATGCTGATAATAAGCATAAAAAAATTAAAAATAAAATAGTTTTTTTAATATTTGATTCCGGAGATGGCAATGGAGTTGGCACTGGGTCTGGCACTGGGTCTGGTACAGGGACCGGCACAGTAGCATTTGGAGTAAAATTCGTGACCCATTTGTAATCATTTTTATCACTTATGTCAAGCATAAGAATTTGATTACAATAAACTGCGGAAGCTGAACCTTTATAGATCCAACCTATAAATGTGTATAAATAATAAATTAGTTAATTTAATTATAATACCTTTGTTAATTCAAGAGTTTCAAATTATACAAATGCAACAATCATGTATTTTCCAACAAGAGTAGCTGTATGCCCAGCATAAGGTGCAGCACTAGGGGTAAATCTAATCTCGGGAATACTCCATCTAAAGATTTTTCGGTGGTAACTAGAACTGATAATTGTTCGTCAGGAGAAACAGGAACTCCTCCGTAGACAATAATGCGACCATCTTGCGCTTGATGGGATTAAATAATTTGGTTGACTTGCATTAACTTAAAAAACAAAAATTGCACAAATTAAAAATTTAAATTAGACATACTTAAGACGGCTGAGTGCCATGCTCTACCACTTGGTTGAGTGCCCGTTGTAAACTATAAATATTTGAAAGTATGTATTTGTAAATATGTATCAAAAGTTCTTAAATAACAGATAAGAAAATGCAAGTAAATTATAACCATTCGTAACCATTCATCATTAAAATAAATCTTTATTTGATGTAAAAAAAAAAAGATTTTTAAAAGTCAGAATCAAATATGATGGGACAAGCATATATAAAGATCAATTTAAATACAATATTTAGTCAAACCTTTGACATGTTATTAAATTGTACATTACTATATCCACCTAGATAGACGATTTTCCCATTCGATAATAAATTTGCGGTAGCCAATTCCATGGGAGGTGGGATATTTTTACTACTTCCCAATGACCAAGTCAATTGATCTGTGTCCAAAATATCAAAATTATTTTGATACCTTCACTGTTGGTACCTCCAAATATAAACATCCTTGCATTTCCATCACATACGACCGATGACGCTTTGCGTCTTTTTGGTTGAGTTCCTCGAATATTTGTATTAGTCAGTTGTGGAACGCTAATGTTAAATGCATAAACTAAGGATGCAGCACTTTCATCAATATCAATCGTAACACCAAACAGAAAGATTGTATCTTTATTAGGATCACACACGGTTGATGTCACTCTTTGATGTTTAGCAATCTGAACCTTGCTGGTTATATCGACTATTGGCAAAGAATCTAAAGTAAAAGGTGCCGAAGCGTCTAAATAAAAAAAATCATTGGTATATGATGTTTTATCTGTTTCACCACCAAGAAGGTAAATTTTATCATTTACGTAATTTGCAGTATGAAGCGCACGCACTATAAGTTTATAAGAATTAACAAGTGTAAGCAATTGAAAGAACAAAATAAGAAATATGTCATATCGAAACATTATGCTTTCAACAATAAAATTATTGTATAAAAAAAAAAAAAAAATTCTTTAATTTGTATTATGCTTGATTAAGCCACACAAATTTTTTGTCATAAATAACTAGTTGGAACCAGCCAAAAATTCTTTAACCGGTAAAATATTCGTTAACCGGTTAATTAACAGGTTAAATTAAATTAGGCCAGTACTATAAATTTGGCGGGGTTAGAAAATATTTTTGCAATAATAAAAATATTAATTCGGGCCGTAAATTGAATTCGGCCGGAGTTAAATTCATCTTTACCGGTTAAAAAAAATCTTTAACATGTTAACCGCTTTAACGGGCTAATTAAACGGATTAAAAATTAACCGGTTCCAACCTCTAAATTAAAGCATGATGTATCCGTCCAAGAAAGAGTAGTAATCGAAAATTTTATATATCAAATTGCAGAATATTTCTTGTTATTCTATTTGTCATATTTGATAGTATATAACGATAATGCTCCATTCAAACTTCTGGAATGATATATGGTAATACACCGTAAATTTTGTCATCAGATTTTTGCTTATCTAATGGCACTGATGATCAAAAATCTGAAGCATCACTACCTTGTAAGATATTTCTATTATGTAAATTCTTATTACATCATATAATTTTTTAATTTTATCTTTCCATAAAAATGTTGTTTAAAATTATTTGAAAGATAATTTCTAGATGCAAATTGTACGATCATAATAAAATCTTTAGTTCCGGATCCTTAGTTATACCATAAAATTTTTAATGTGATAGAACTTTCGTTACAAAAATCCCAATGTATTTTAAGCTAGTTTTCGTAATAAATGTTCAAACAAAATTAGGAATGTTCTTAATTAATTAAAATATATAAATGTGATATACCTCATTAAAATATTTAGTTGACATTTCCCGTGATACTTTTCAAAGCAACCTTCATAGGTTTAGGATCTGATTTCTTCCAACTTCCGTCATCTTGCTTTCTAAATTCAGATTGACCATCGATCCATGTTGCAAAATGCACTTTGGCAAATCCCTCTTCACCAACTTCTTTTATATCCATAAGGCATCCATTTAAACATCTTTGATATCGATTAAATGTAATTCCGGCCGAAATCTTTATAACTTCGCTTGAAAATCGTCCATGATTATTATAGTTAGTCCCTTTGACGATCATTTGCCAGGTTGTCACGGCGCCAGTTTGTCAAGGTGCCAGTTTGTCAAGATGCCAGTATGACAAATGGTCAAAATGCCAGACTGGCTTAATTAAAATTCATTTATATATATATCGAGCCGGAAATCCTAAAACAGCTCAATATCCCATGCTCGCCTTTAATATATTTCTTTGAAAAACATTCCCTTCACAATCCTCCTTTTACACCGCGATAATTTCGATTTTCGCCCTTTTAATTTTATAATTTCGCACTTATAACACCTTTTATTATTTTATTTTTATTAGTATTTCATTATACAATTTTTATGTAACAGTTTCGTAATTGCGTAGTTTAATTAATTATAATTTAGTATTTGACATTTATAGAGTTTAAAATATTGATATAGCGAAAGTGTAGAGCGCCGAAGTTGAGGCAACACTGATTAATTTGATATTATTAAATAAATACTTGTCACAATTACTTCATTTTTATTCAATAATTATTCATTAAAAACCTTCTGCTTACATTACAAATTGTTTATAAATACATAAACGAAAGAACTGAATACAACAATATGCTTTTTCATTACTTGCATGATACATTGTATCTTTGATGAATTTATTTATATCAGAATTTCCATTAGTCCATACGCAAAGAATCATATTCTTTACACCATCACCATAATAAATCTTCAAACGGTTATCGTAATAAGAACAATTCTTTTCTAATTTATCGATTTGAGTTTCATCTTCCATTTTTAATTAAATAAAAAAAATTTATCATGACCAAAATTAGACCAACGGAATATATTTTCCGAACATTAGACAGTTGTACAAATCATGCGATAAAGTGATCGGTTACTGCGGTAATTATCAATTATATCAATTGATGATAAGATGTTGAGTTCGGACTTATAAACGCGTTCTCAACTAATTATCAGTGGAGTTTATTCAGCTTATAATGCGTTCACATAGTTTAATAAAAGTTTATTCCGAATCATATATATAGTCAATAAGTTTAATTTAGACGTCTCCAGAAAATCGTTGTTCATTTTTTACTTCTTTCAAGCCAGATCTTTAAAAATATATCTAACATTTACGAAATCATCGATAGCCTTGATCTCAAAGAAGAAGCTAATAAACTACAAATTTATCTAATTAAAAATCCAAAAGAAGAAGAAAAGTTGTTATTAGCTCTTAAAAGTACCTATAAAACGAAAGAAGATAAACGAAGTCTTATGAAATATTTCCTTAATACTATAACTGGTATGCTGAAATATTTGTCGTTATTATTGTTTGTGACACTACGACTAAACCTTTTTTTGTTCTTTATCACGTGCCTGTGGATTTAGATGAACATCAAGGTAAGCCTTTGCGTCGTAATGATCAACATTAGCGTGACTTATAATTTATCAATCTTTTTTACTTTAGCACGAACAAAAATTAAAATTACGGATGAAATTCCCAACGGTATGTATTTAGTTATTTTAGACATCCAAGAATTTACATTGTGACTGATCAACATTTCTCTAATTTATTAGGCTTACAATTTATACAACCGATACCGTTACTTTATTGTACTGGTTCAGAATGGACTTATCAACCAGCAAAAAACGTTATATGAAGAGTTGTGATATGAGCTCAAAGAACATTATCAAAATTTTCTTCAGGAAAATTTCTGATAAAACATATATTCCGATATACCTATTCCTTTCTGGTGCTGGCACGGGAAAGTCAAGAAATGCTGAAGAATTTCATAGAACAGCAATTGCATGCCTTTCGGAAGATGAGGATCTTAATCTGAGAAAGAAAATTGAGGATGCTTTTGTATTCAGCGTTGGGTTTGAAAATGGAAATAGCTTGAGATGCGATGTAGAACAAAGCGCGTACAGATATATTGGTACTCGAATGCTTAAACAACTACTTCCCGATCAAGATTTAGATCTGATCATTTCTAATTATGAAGCACCGTTAACATGGGAGGTTTTTGAATTGGTGTCTAAATACGAAAATCGTGAATTAAAAGAAATGACAATTTTGTTGATCATTGACGGTCTACTAAACATAATGAAATCGAATAATGATTGGAATGACAAGACATCTGAATTCTTTAAAACTTTGACGAATATACATGACCTTGCCTTGCGAGGTACTTTTGTGATACCATTATGTACTGCAACAGTCACTGATCCAGTTGAAAGTGTATTGAAAATCACACATAGTAAACGTGTATATTTGTCAATTGCTTCTCTGGATCCCCCTACCATTATTAAAAGCGGTGTTGTGACTTCTATCTTTCAAACAGATGATCATATCATTAAAATGTTGGTAAATGACTGTGGTGGACATGGGCCCTCAAAGTTTTACAGGAAATCTTAAAAGACCGTGATATTCAAAATGTAAACATCAACGATGTGATGAATGATTTGCACATTAGGCTTCGCGACCGGTACTGTGAGGCACTTATTTTATCACCTAGTGAGCTAGGGCTATTGCACGAGCAACACTTACTCGGCATCTCTTGGAATTTAATAAGCATGTTCCTGGCACAAAAAAGTATCCCGACCATATTGTACAACCTGGGCTAATTCGTTATGTTCGTGAAAGTAATTCCAGTATGGAAATTTCGATTTACCTTACATATGGATTTGGATCTTGACTAATTCTTCAGATGGCAAGGATCCATACTTAGAGACTGGTCCTTCTGCGACTATGGTGACCACAGTTCTAACGAAAAATCCGACATGTCCGCCAGGATCACAGTTCTGGCAACATTTTGAACATTTCGTTGCTTCTTTTCGCACACTAAAATCAAGAAATCTAAATGATGGCGAATTAACATCAATCTCAAGCATTCACATTGGAGCGCGTTTGAATGGTGATTTTGAATTTAAGAATCATCATTTGGAGTTAGAATGCGCAGTACATCAAGAAGACACAAATCCATCAAACTATGGAAAGGGTATAAAGAAGATTATATGTGAAGACAAGACTGTAGATGTACGTGAATGCAAGTATTGTATCATTAATGGTGCATCTGCGCCATATGGTGATGCGTTACTTGGGCTAGATGTTAATTTAAAGTTAGGAAAACCGAACGAAGTCCATCAATACAAAAGATGAAAAGTGAATTCTCTCACTACACAAGATTACCAAAATGAACGTAAGAAGTCTTGCATCGAGTAAAGACTTTTTTATTTTGAATATAACCACAAATTGTTTGGATTTCAAACTACCAAAAAACTCTGGAATTGTAGACGCGTCCAATTGGGACAAATATTTCGGTCCTTATTCTGGTAGGGCATATGCTTACGCTAATGTAGGTCCTTTAAACATTAATAAGGCAAGTCGCAGAGATCTCCTGTCGGTGTATGGAATTGGTGAAACTTGAGCAGATACAATTATGACTAAGAGAGAATTCAAAGACATTGAAGATGCGAAAAAAAGGACTGATATACCAGAAAGGGTGTTAAAAAGATTCAAATTTTGAAAATTACAGATTGATCGATATAGAAGTTGAGATAATAAAAGCATCGTATGTAATTAGGGTTTAAAAAGATGAAAGCTGAAATTACTATACATACTTTGCAAGAAATAGTATTTTTGAGATTGCTTGCATCGTTAACAATCTAAATAGTGTCATTATAAGGTAAATTATAAAGGTATAAATTTGATCAGTATAATAAAGACAATAATACTGGAATGAAAAATCTAAGGATTTACAATATAAAATTTTATGCAAAGAGTTACAAATTAATTCAAATATAAATAATATAATTTGATAGCATGATTTCATTTTATTAAGATTACTTTATTTAGGATAGTGATTTAAATAAATGGAATATTCAAGCAGATCAAGAAAATCGATATTTGTAAGTCAAGGGTCACAATACACGAACTTAAATCGGTCAACGGTCGTGATTGAAATTGATTTTCGACTTTCAGACGATCTTCTAGTGTCTGAAATCGAGATTCAATTTCAATTAACTGAAATTGGTATTCCAATTTCAGACACCCCTTTTTGATTTCTGAATTGATACTCGAAGATCGTCTGAATTCCAATTTCAGACGAAAATCAATTTCAGTCACAACAGCGTGCCTGAAATTGGAATACCAATTTCAGTTAATTGAAATTTCAGACGCTCGAAGATCGTCTGAATTGCAACTTCAGACGAAAATCAATTTCAGTCACAACAGTTTGACAAACCGGTTAATATTAACAATTTAATTGATCAAAATATGAAATTTTAATTTATATATTTGGTTTTGATTATTTTTTAAGCTTATGCCAATTCCTTTTTTATTTTAAATTTTTGTGGCGCTATATTATCCGGACTTCAGACTTCTTTTTTTTGAGATATTGCTTGCATCACTACAAAATAATATAATTACAATGAAGCATTTTTAACCAAGCGTGAATTGAAATCGGAAACAACGCAGAATTAATTTTAGGCTAATAATCCTACAAAAGTTCAATTACAAAATTTAAAATTTAAAAGATTTCTTGCATATATATCCATTGAGGAATGTGGCGATCACCAATCACCAAGAGGAAACCGTTTGAACAGTTTCCATCGCTTCTCGATGGATTCCTACAATAGTATGTTGAATAATTGAAATGAATACTCATGAATATTCAAAAGCCTGTATGTCACAATATTTGAGTGTCACAAAGAAATATGCATGCATCATGGCCACAACGAATTCATAAAAATGAACTTTAAAAATCGATCATACAAAGAAATTCGAGCAAAAAAAAAATTTGAACCTTTTTATAGAACGTACATTAAACTTGATGCACAGAGTAATGATCTACTGTAAATGATTTATTAACTTTGTCATCTGTAGATTAAAATTGTCTTCGAAAAAAATTTCCTCTCAAATTGGTAATTAAAGCTGAAACAAAAAATTTGCGCAAATATTTCCAAATTTATAAATATCATAAATCAATAGAATAATTTTATTCTATATGGAAAATTCATTGTGTAATGATATTAGACGGGATGTTATTTACCCACTCCCGATTATTATTTCCTCGTTAATATGTACAAAACCATTTGATAATATAGAATTATTATTTTTTTTTTGCATTTTGAATAATAACGTCTATGAACGCAGTAGATTATTTTTATTTTCATTCAAGGTATAGCAATTAAAAAAAAAAAATTGTTGCCAAGACAATCTTCTGCGTCATTGTTCAATTATAAAGCAAATAAACAAAGATTTCTTTTTTTTTTTTTTGTTTATTGTCTTGGCACGCTTTCTATATTTCAAGTAAAAGTTTTTATAGAAATTCTTTATTTGTATTTTTGTTTTTTTTTTTTAAGATTTCTCAAAAGGAAGTTTAATTACATGATTGTTAAAAAGTACTGGATCGGGCCTCGGGCTAAAAAAGTTTATTTGTAATAAATGTTTACCTGGTAATTGAAATTTGATTGTTGAATCACGCTTGGCTAATTATCTTAGCCTGTTTCTGAAATCAAAAGTGGAATAGATCGTAAATAAATAAAACTTGGCAATATCATAACAAAATATAAAAAGTAAACGTAAAAGTTAAAATTGTTCAAATTATTTCTTACAATACGCACTGCAAACCCTCGTTAGGAAAAATGAACCCAACAAATTTGAAAGATTCTGCCAAACAATCAACAACAATTAATACTAATGGAAAGTTTCTTTCTCAACAACAACATAATAATGAGAGTAGATATGAATGTAATCAAAGAGAGTTACAAAATAATCAAGTAATTTCGAATAATAGACTTGATAAAAAAAGTGTACCCGCAGCTATAAATAATAAAGGTAACAAGATCGTATTAAATAAAAAAAAAAAAAAAAAACTTTAAATGGACGTTTAATCATTGAATAAATTATGTACCATACATTAGATCATGTGCCGCGTAGTCGTAACAAATGCTTAGTTTGTTGTAGCCCAAAAATTTTAATGATAATTTCTGCAATTTATTTGATTATAGGATTTATTCATATGGTAAATATTATTTATTTATGAAAAATGAATTATAAAATTATTCATTAACATTCGTATAATTTCATATCATACAGTTTGTGCGATTAGCCAACTATAAATTATGTCGCGATTACCATGCTAAATTAGATTCCACAACTCCAATTACCCTATCTTATGACCCAAGCACAATCTCAACCTTGAATGTTGAAGGCATTAGTTATTTTTATGTAAGTAGAAATTAAATTAAATTCTAAAGTACTTAGGACGCTAAAAATAAATTTTTTTTCTTGTAAAATAAACAGGATTATTCTAAAGATCATGAACTCTTGATAACGCAAGCAAATGATGCTCTAGCCACGAATGCAACAATTCAAATTCATGTTATTTCAACACAAAGTTCTGATGTTCAATTTGAGACAAGCATTACGCCTACTGCTTACAACATAAATTTCGTAATAACATTTATATCATTTTGTTGTTAATATTTTTATCGCGGAAAAAAAAATTAATTTTATTTTATTTTTTTTTTTTTATATATATATAGAAAAAAGGTCGATCTTGGATACCAGGCTTGAGTATTCCACCCAGATGTGTTGTGATCAGAGTTGAAGTGATTTTACCTCAAAAATTAACGAATTTATCGCCAATAAATGTTAATTCAAATATTTTTAATGTTAAATTCCTACAAAATACAATAAGCTCAATTCCATACCCCTACCCAATAAATTTTAAAACTACAAACAGCGACGTTGACATTGAAAATCTTTTAATAACAAGCGCATCGATCCAAACCAGTAGTGGAGATATAAAAGGTTCAATCACATCGGTACGAAACGAAGTACATATCGAGTCAACAAGTGGCGACATTGACGTTAGCGTTTATGCCAACACCAATGTGATTGCTAACATGGTAGGCGGAACGAGTCCAAGAATTGGATTGAAAAGCACCAATGGAGACATTGATTTGCAATTAAATGTTTCAAATGGCATCGTTAAGCCTGTTATTGATGTCACTGCGACAAGTGGAGATATTGACGCAAATATTCTATTGGCTAGTGGAATTAATGATAGTCAAATTACTATCAATTCCACAAGTGGGGATGTTGAATTAAATTTGGTAAGATTTTCTTTAAATACATTAATTCAATTTAAAAGATTTTTTTAATTTTAATCTTTATCAAATTTAGCAACATTCATTCGAAGGACAATATGAAATTAAGACTACATCAGGTAACATCGATCTCAACATTGGAAATGATAAAGATCATAATGGATTAGGTAGAATTGGATCATTAGATTCACAAGGATTTCTGATTGTCCAGTCCACAAGCGGTGATGTTGAAGTTAGATTTTAAAATATATTCGTTTAGAATTTTCAATCTGTTATAAATATGCTTGTTTTGTAATTTTAGTACGAATTGATTTATAAATAAATGACTTTATAAAGAAACAATATTCGTAAAGGCGTAGTCTTGGCATAGTAATTAAATAAATGTCATCATCGTACAGATTGACTCCCCCCTAAGTCAACTTTAAGAAATTTCAAATTTATTTATAATCCTTTTTTATGGTTAGGCTCAAAAACAAAAATAGTGGCACGAAAGTGGGTGTTGGAAAATCGTTTATCCCTCCCTCTGTTTGTTTCTAACTTGCCGATCCAGTGAAAAAAACCATTGTTTCTGGAATTTATCCGTTTTTGACAAAAAAAAAAAAAACCAAACCATTAAAATGAACATTAAAATGAATTAATTTTAAACGAAAAAGAATAAAAAAAAAACGTCAAATAAAACCCTTTAGTTGTTCATCCTCAGGAGTAAAGTGTTGAATTCTAATTGATGATAATCGGTGCAACCAAAAAGTAAAATAAAAAAGCGTGCTTTGCATGTGTGCTGCCATAACATAACCCTTTGCGTGACGAAAATTATAAATACACATTGAATAATATATTTATTTTATTTTTTTTTTTTTTAAAAAAAGTTCTATAAATTTCTCTAAATTAGGATTAGCAACTTTAAAATTATTTAGATAGGTAACAAGCAGCATAATGCACACTTACAACAACTCGTACATTTTTCATTGAAAAAAAAATTTTTTTTTATTTCTTTTATATAAATTGAAATTTTTTCTTCTTTTTTTTTAGGTTCAATTCTTTTTAATTAAAGACGAATCACTAATTTGCCGTAGTAACTAAACCATTTTTTTTCCTCGGCCCTAAAAGATTTATATTAAGAATGTCATTTAAATTTATTGATTATCCAGCGCAAATCAAAACCGCTGTCAAAAAGTATGAAGAACAAGATAAAGAAACTGAACGAAATATATCGGACCAAGTAAAAACTAGTGTTGCGATAAATGGCTATGACGATGAAACGTTTAAAGACGATATGAAAGGCGACATGAATGACGATTCTTGTATTACCCACGATAAAGAAGCTAGCGACATAACCACCAATAGTGATACAAAATGTAATTATCTTTGATTTGTGATTTGTAATTTATAATTGATTGATTATAACTTTTGGCTGACCGTTCCTTTTGACCTTCCTTTGTATACATACAGTACAACGTAAAAAAGCTTGTGGTTGTCTGACGAGAATTATATTGATATGGGCCACCGTTATTTTATTAATACTCGGGTTAATTTATGGGGTAGGTTATAAATATAATTTATTCATGTTCTTTTTTATTTATTATTTTTTTTTTTTTTCGTAAAAACTTAAATTTTTTTTTTTTCAAAAAAAAAAAAAAAATTATTAGGTCGTAATCATAGTCTGTTATCAAAATTGTGATCATTTATCGAAGCACATTGAATTAATAGAACCAGAAATAATATCATATGATCCGAATCTTTATAACAATTTTAATATTGAAGATTTTAACAATGTCAAGGTAAAAAGTGGATACACGCGCGTTTCATTTAAATTTTAAAATGCTTATACTGTATATACACATAACTTATAGGATGGCGAAATTCTCGTGTCACAAAACGTCGAGCCTAACGATAATAATGCTACATTATCTGTTAAACTTGCAACGCTAACTTACACAAATGCTTTTACGAAATCGATATTTCAAGATTCCACTTTTAATTTACAAATCGTAAGTACACTTCTAATATTCGATCCTCCTTTTTCACGATAACAAAGGTATTTAAAATTAATTATTTTCGAATTCCTACAGTTACGAGAATCATTTCCAAATTCAAAAAAACTAGCATGGTTGGGATATTTGACAATTCCACCAAAATGTGTCGTGGTAAGATTAGAGTTAACATTACCACAAATTAAAAATAATGCGACCTCGCTAATTAATTCCAACAGATTTAACACGAATTTTGCGAATAATTCGGTTCCTTATTCAAACCCAATTCATTTAGAGACTTCAGATGGTGATGTTTCATTTGATAACAGTTTACTAGCGAACCAATTATCAGTTGTAACCCTAAGTGGAAATATTAATGGAAATTTAATTCAATCAATGCAAAATGATTTTAATCTCGAAACCAAAAGTGGAAATATAAAATTAAATTTGGACATTAAAAAAGATTTAGGTGATAATAATTTAGTGAGTCCTGGACAATCTAATGTTAAAGTTACGACTTCAAAAGGAGATATTAATTTAGGTATAAATATTGAAAAAGATATTAAAAGTCCCAACGTTGATATAAGTTCGGTTCATTCTGATATCTCTGTCGGATTTGTAAGTATTTTTCATAACATTTTCCTTCCTTTTACACGACGCTGTTTGCCGATTGTAAAAATAAAAAAATTTTTTTTTTCTATTTTATAGAATAATTCATTTAATGGACATTATGATATAAAATCTACTGGACAAATTAAAATAGAAAACAATCATGAAATCACGAGTACAGCAAATGGTGATGTTGGTGATTTTAATAATAATGAATTAAGTGGCGTTGTAAATATTCGATCCAATAATGGTAAAATTGACGCGAAGTTTTAGAATTCCTTTGTAAATTTCCGCTCGCAATTACTTTCTTATCGTAATATGTATATTACTTTAAAGAACATTTAAATTAATAATAATATAATCAAATTCTCGCGAAATTAAAATTCACGTATGCATCTCTTCGTATGCGTAGCTAATACGATCCATAAGCTGTAAATTGAAGCAAGGTCGTAGGTTACCTATAAAATTGATTTGACGATTACATTCTAGGAGGGATACTTATATTGTATAGTTTCCGTCATAGAAATCTTTGGCGTCGTTTGTTCTTAAAGAGAAATTATGTGATGCAACAGTTGAATGATACTTGTGCGTTTTACGGTTTCAGTTCCTTAAAATCATGATAATGCGTGATCACGATAAACAAAATTTCTTCGTTTTTGATCAAGTGAGGAACTTTTTTGGAAGAACATAAACATAACTGAGATTTCGAGTTTAAGTTCACAGACTTCGAATTTAGGATCTTTTTTTCTCCAATATGACCTTATCCAAATACTGTGAAAATATCTATAATGATTTAAGCGTAAAAAGCTTTAATTTACTCGATTGTCTTTTTTTTATTTATTCGAAATTTTTTTTTTTTATGATACCATAAAATACAAAGATATACAATAATTTACATCACTTTTTGGACGTAAAACCGAAAAGTGTTTATGTAGGATTTATATTTATTAGCCTCCGAAACAAAACCCTCGATTAATGCATCGTAATGTTGATCGTTTAAACCCATTACCGGCTGCAAATTATCTCGAAGTGCTGATAATTCTATGACAAAAACTTCAAGTGACTGTCATGTGTGAAAATAAAATTCATTAAAATAAATAAGATTAAAATTAAAATAAAATTAATATGTTAATAGAAATGATACGTACCACCGAACCCAAACTTCCACCCCAACCTCCAAGTGGAACCGACCTTTTCTCACAACGAACGTCCATTAATTGATCATTTGATCGCATAAGTTCCGGAAGATGCTTGCTGATATTCGGAATTAAACCTTGCGATAAGAAAAATGAAGTAATTCCAGCATTTAATCGCTTTATAATTGGGCCCTCGTTATGTAGAACATAATCATATTCTAGGAATTCTATCCATCCACCGGGTTTCGTTACTCTCACGATTTCTAATAATACATCCTGCCATTGCGATGCCGTGAATGATGTGGATAAAAGTGATTGATGCACATAATCAAAGGTATCATCAGGAAAAGGTAGTTCATTAAGAATGTTATATTGTACAAACGAAGCGTTTCTAGGTTTGACGTGTTGTGGAAACACGGGGGATATGTCTAGTCCAATAAATATTGTTGCTTTATATTCGGCCGCTAGGTCCATTATCCATGATCCAGTACCGCAACTTGAAACGAACGAACGAACGAGCAAAGGAAATTAGAAACAACATAAATTTTTTTAAACCAAGGTTCAAAAAATATACACACCCAATGTCTAGAACACGACCACCGCCAGCGGATAATATAGGAGTTATGGGAGAAGTATAACAGGTTCTCCAATACTCTTTAAGTAAATAATATTGTAATTCTAATTTTTCAATTCCTTCTTCATCATTAGGGAAAATATATTTAATCGTTTCATCCATATGAAATCTTCTACCATTTATATATCTATAAGGAGTGGTTGATTCATCAAAAGGAATTTCATCTATCCATTTTTCATTACATTTTACTGCTTTAGAAGCACATGCGCCCATATTTGCATTAGGGACAAATTTTATTTTATTATTTTTTTTTTTTTTTTTTTTTATATTTTTTTTTTTTAATAAATAAATTTTGGGGGGAAATGTTAGGAAAAATGAAAATCATTGATTTTTTATACTATATTTATATGCATTCTGTCAACATCTGCATCTGTACGGGGTATAATTTCCGTTAGGCAAGAAGAGAGATTTGCTTAAAAGGAAACGATATTCAAGATAACACGTTTATTATTTGAATCACAAGTGCCGCGTTTTTTTGTGTTATTTCAAGATCTATCCAGTTATTTCTGCTGAACCATGATTTTCCGGTAATCTTTATGAAGATTCATACTTGTTAAGGAATGAGTTCGGAATAATTTCGGAATTACCGCGCGCCGTTCCTGAAAGAGTTGGGAAAATAATTTTTATGAACGATAGGTTTATTTTTGAACCCGTTTGATTGCGATTCAACAAATAACAAATAATGACGTATCGACTTTTTTGGATCCCTTTTATGATGGAAAAAAAAAAAAAAAAAAACTTGATTCCCTGCACGTATGTTTGTTTCATCTATTCTGTAAAACGTTTACTTTAAAAAGTTAATTTTTTATTGTTTTTAATTTTCCTATTACATTGAACCTTATTTTTTGCGAGAATTCCACAAAAAAATAAAAATAAATAAATAAAATTTTTTTAATGCATAAATTAAAAATTAAAAATTTAAAATTTGCTGTGACACCATCCTTATTTAAGATAAATGTTTTACAAAGAGAGACAAAAAAACGAACCACCCGAAAATATTAATTTTGTGATTTAAATTCTATTTTATCCTTTTTTTTTTTAAATGGACGCTAATTTGACGTAACCAAAATAAATAATTGAGGATAGTTTCAAAAAATAAATAAAATCAAAAATCAAACAGTTCATAAATTTTGAGTCATTTAATAAGTTTGTCTTCATTTTATTTGATATCGTAGAATAAGGGGGAGGATAATACAGTTTAAAATTGTGAGCCCAGACCTTAATTTCCTCTAGTTGCGAAATGAATCTTGTGATGAACGTCATGTTCAATTAATTATGCAATTAATGAATATCGTTCATAATGGTCGTTGTCAAAAAATCTTAATAATTGGATTTCATGCAACCAATAATTATAAAATAAAAAAACATCTGATGATTCTCAATTAGCACAATATTTTTTCCTTCTTTATGATAAAAACGGTAGTTTCAACGATTTTATTATTAATTAAATCAATCAAATTGTGTTTCAACTCTAAATGATTAATTTATTATAATTTTCGCTTTCGACCAGTCCATGAAAAAATTCACACGCGAAATCATACAACATTGATAATACAAACTTGGGAAATATTATAATACAATTTGTACAATTAATATCTGTATGATGACTAATTATTATTGTAAGATGGTTTCTAATATTTGTACGATGTGAGAAATATTAATCATCCAAACTTAGCATTTGAGCGATAATTGCTCAACTTTGTATTACTATTAACTTTTATCTTTTTATAACTGATACTTATCTATCGCTATGGTAATAAGGATTAGGTTCTTTGCATGGAATTTAAACGACATAAAAAGAAAATTTCTTGTGATGACCAATGAATAAAAACTATATGCCAAACCTTTAGCAGATATGTATTCATATACACAAATGAAATTGTCTTTATGATTGAAATAAGAAAAAAAATTTTTTTTTTGAAGCTTGGGATATTTAGTAATTTCTGCAATATTGTTTTCTATAGCATAATCCAAATAATGTTTATTTTTAAGTTTATTTATTGAAAAATCATGCCTCACGTCAGTTAATAAATAGATAATTCGATTGGTATTACACAAAAATAAATTAATTGGTGTCAAACACGTTCTAGAACATGCGCATGGTACAAAATAAATTATACGAGGACCCATATTTCCATGTCCAATTCCATCAGAAACGATAAATTTTCCAAGATCAGTTTATGTTAGTTCACGATCATTTTATCATTAATGTAAAGGTGGATTTGAGGAAGGACTTTGCGAGTGACTATGACGGAAATCTGATGATTATAAGGAACCATCGTAACAAAGGTTGAAACCACGGGATGCCATTGAATGGTTTCTCGATATCAATATCATCTCATGCCTATAACACCTGATTTTTTTTTTTTTTTTTTTTTTTTTTGGTATCTCCGATATTTGTCTGTAAACATTTCCAAAGGTTTTGTACACCCGGATGTAATCAACTACAGCTTTGTTGAGTATTTTGCTTATCACTGCAGGATCACGAGGGTTTATAACTTATTCCCGTGGCAAAGACGATTTTGTGAATCATCATTTTTCGCAAATTTTTTATAACGAATTTAAATTACCGAACAAAAAAAAATAAAGGAATAGAAAAAGGAAAAAGAAAGAAAAAGAAAAATCATGGAAGTATTATTGAATTCGGAATTTATTATTCTGGATCCGAGAGTTATTATTTTTGCAGCACCGCAATTCGGACCAATCCGAAATTTTCGGATAAATAAAAAATATTTTAAGCAATTTAAGTAACCTCAAGATCTACATTGTATATACAGTAAATTACCAAATTTGATTCACTGGTCTGGAATTTTTATTAGGGGCATTTTGATTGAAATTTTATGATTGGGTTCATAGAATCCAGTTTATTGTATTATAAAAAAATATTCACAAGGCGACTTGCATGTTCATCTTCAAATATTATATTATGAAAACCGAAGATCGAGATTGACTGGTCTTGCTTTTATTTAAATTTAATATTCGATCATCGGTTTCACTGATCTTTAAATACTGGTGAATAAATCAATTTATAGTAGGTCATTCTTCTGAGGTAGATCATATTCATAAAAAAGCAAATTAAACACCGCACTGATAAACGTTTTAAGTACAATTAATTTTCATAAATCAAGTTACATAAACAAAAAAAATTCTTTTTCACGTAAATCATTACTTTAAACTATAATAGTTTCTTTCATGTGGTGTTTCAAATGTTTATAGACTGTAACATTTTAAAGTTTGGATTTAGCTATTTTAATAATTACAATGCTTAATTTAAAGTAATTATTTTTAGCAATAAGCATGAATTAGATTATTAGAACATTAAATTCAAATGTTATTTATTTATATCATACTGTATATCTAATTTTGAAATTTGATAGACGAAATTACTAAAATTTAACAAAGCATTAATTATTAAGTTTTATCCTTCAAAATTTGAAATACTTCATAATCCTCTATTAAGAATTGTTCATCTGTTTCCCTTATACTTTTTTCATATACATCTTTGCTACAATAATTAATATCGAAATCATGATCTTCACCATTAAGATTTGCTATACAAAGATCATGATAAAATGAAGGACCGCAATTCTCATGATACAATATAGCGTTATCTGTATTAATCACATGACTTAAAATTGGACTTTTAAAATCCTTCGACTTAAATGAAAATATGAAACTATCATTTGTTTGAGCACATTCATAACTATTAGATTTCTCCCATATCAAAGGATTATATCCTCCAAGAATCTCTTCCGTTCCTTTTACTTTGATGAATGTAATTGTACGAGGTATATCATTACATAATTCATGAAACTTTTTAGGTGTAAACCCATCCCGACTGCCTCTTAATAATAATTTAAATTTGCATGATAAATTTAACTCATTTGAATAATTGATCTTGCTTCGAAAATCTACCTTATCAATCCACCCTGAAATTACGGAAACAATTTTTGAATTGACGATTATTGTATCAATCATTCCACCGACACTTCTACGAGTAAGAAGCGAATTATTAATGGTTGATGCACTTTTAGGATCTAAATAAGATCTTAATAATTCTTCATAAAGTTGGGGTTTCAAAAGTTTTTTATATGGATGAACCTTTTGAAAAAATTCTTCAGAGGACATGCTAAAAAATCTAATTAAGGGTAAACAATGTTGTAAAGTGTTTTCCATCTTTTTGAAATCATCATCTGACCAGGTCAAAGGATCAGGATAGAGTTTGGGATTCTTATCAAGTCCCCAATTTAATACATGCTCCCAAACTTCAACTTCTTTCATTTGTAAATCATCCCTTTTAACGAGTGAAATTAAAGTAATTTCAGGAAGTGAAGCAAAATCAAGTGATTTAAATACCGTTTCTGGTGATTTGACCATAAAATCTGTACAAAACTGTTGAAGTACCAACAATGAATTAGATTTAGAGCTCATCCTATAGGTAAGTTCAAAATGTTGTTCAATCCATTCAACTTTATTTTCGATGAAATATTTCTGTAAATATTCAACTAGCTCTTGAAGATGAAGCTCATCAGCAGCCGTCAACACTTTTAAAATATCTGAAGCTTCATGTTCATTTAATAAAATAACCCCACCATAAATGTACCTAAATAAATCATTAAAAATTTTAAATTTAAGACGAAAATTTTTTTAAGCGCAAAAAAAAGGTAAATAACATGGATTTAAAAAACCACGTACTTCAAGATGATTTGAAAGGTTTCTGATGAAATTTTTGGTAAGTTAACATGAGCTAGCACTCCATCACTTTTGGAAGCCAAAGTTCGTCGGAAAAATGGAGAACGGTAGCACAAAATGATCCTGTGCGCACGGAATATTTTCACATTTGGATCTTCTCCGACTTCAATTGTAAAATCATAATATTCGTTATCCTCTAACATTTCGATAAAATTTTGGCTTAATTTAGTAAAAAATTGTGCAGTCATTATAAAATCTTTGAAATTTAAATTGAATGAAAATAATTTTTTTTTACGTTGGTCCGAAATAATGTTCTATTTATATTAGTTTTTACAGCTTATATAACTAAATTCGATGGACATTGGTTACACAAGAAAATTGTCAGTCTTCTCGACTTGTCGATTTTCGGAAACTTTCGGTGACAAAATTTCCTATTTCAAGCAATATTTATATTTTTTAATTTAAAACCTGGCCTATAAAAACAGGATAGATGGGTGATAAAAAAAGTTGGATCATGCCTT